CGATTTTTAATAAAGGGCGTTTCATTTACTATTTAATTAGATGAGTAATACGCGCTATGCGTGCCTATGAATTTTGAAAAGCCAAAAAACAATACAAAAAGATTATTGATATTAATTTAAATTTTTTTTGATGAATTTTCCAATAAAAATTTAGTGCCTATAAAAATTTGTTGGAAGACAGAAATCAAGGAACCCACTTATTAATGTGGCGGTATTACGGGTGGATTTAAAGGAGTAACAACAAGCAGTATTTGGGGTGTTTTAGTCATAACAAGCAACAAAAAGACCACAAAGTCGTCTTATTATATCCAAAAGTGTCACGGTGAAATAAAAATACCAAAAAACTAAAAAATGTGCTTTAGTGTTATTGACCCTATTAGGAAGATTGAACAGAAACGAAATCTCTTTTGTAAGTTGAAGAAGACGAAGATCGTGAACTCTAAAGGATTGGGAAATTGATAATGTTTCTGTTAAGAGTAAAATAACAATTTACAAGTAATTATATGTACCATTAATATATCCGGTACAGACACCGGTTTACTAAACCAAAGGCAAATGTGTAAACCACATTACTGATACACGCTATTTTACCTTTGCTAAATACCAAAGATCCAATAGGCGATCGAAACTTTACATTTATAAAGCCTCAAATAATCCACAAGTGCATGGAACACCGAGGAGTACTTAAGGATCGATCCCACGAGGACTAAAGATTGCACACTAAAGATGCGAGAAACAAACTAAGCTATAGCAAATGTTTTTGGTTTTTTGGTTTTTTTTTAAATGCTAAGTAATTCAAGAAAATGAAATACAAGAAGATAAACAAGTTAAAAGCATTGGACCATGAAGTTAACTATCATAAGAATAGATTAACAATCAAACAATGATGTCAAAAGGTTGTATCAAACACTATCCTAGACAATGGAATATTCATTCTTAAGATTAGTCCACGCCAATGGTAAAAACTCATTCCTCTAATCACATTCAAGATCCGCGGTCAAGCATTCCATCTCAATGATTAGACAAGCATTACTATACTCCCATTGTCGTCACAAGAGTTCATAGAACCACGATCAAGTAGTTATGTGACCCAAGCTCACAAAATG